TTCATGGAAACAGGGAAAGGGAAGTAGAGAGACCTCTTTCTTGATTATGGCCATGCACATGTGAGATTGTGTATTTGAATCCTATGCCCCATTTGATACGGTAGAAGAGTTATTATGGAGCAAAAATTGGAAGTAGAAGTAGAATTGGAAGTGGAATTGGAATTGGAATTGGGCTATAAAACATGTTTGGTGGGAATATGGAAGTGGAATAAATTTTTAATTGAAAAATACTTCTATAACATGAAAATACTAAAATGCCCTCAAACAAACAAAAAAAACTCTTCCCCTTTCACGTATCCATAACCAGCAATCCGCCGTCCACCACCATAATTTGACTAACATAGTCGTTGGAAATATTCTGGACATGAAGTAAAAGCAAAACAAAGACCAGAAAATAATCAAAAGTTCATCAATAATCAATCTAAACAACTGAAGAAGGAGGAGGAGAGGATGGAAAGGGAGAAAGTTTCACAGATCAAAGGCGAAGAAGGGGCCGCAGATTGAAGTCTTTGTCGTCATCGAGTAATGGGTTTAGTGAGAACAAGACTCATCGCAATCGGAGATCACTGTATCGAATCAGATCCACGCCATAGTGAACCAGATCTAAAGAACCTGGCTGAATCGCGCTTCTTGCCATGAGGAGACAGCAGAGTTGAGTTCGCTGCTTGAGGGAGACGATGGAATCCCGTTTGTCGTCGTTGCTGGCTGAGAACCATATCACCATCGCCGTAGAGGGCCGTTGCCAGTAGAGAATTAGCGGAGTTTGGGGCGAGAGACAGAGGAGGAAGATGGGAAGGAGGAGGGGCAAAATGGTCCGAACACCAGTTCCTTGGAACTGGAACTTAGTTCTCAGGGGAAGGATGGAAGTGCCGGTGCCCAAATTTGATGGAACTGGTGCTTCCATGGAAGTGGGTTCAATTATACCAAACACCCAAATTTTGAGTTCCATACGGGGTGTTAGGTTTATCACAAATTGGTTCCAACATTGTGTTAACATGGGTAAGGCAATGACATACGACGGCAATGGTGAGATGGCGATGACACTTGGTACCGGAAGCGGCATGGCAATGGCAGTTGAAGTCCATCACCGGCAATGAGGTGGCACCTTATGGAGTGGCCACGTGACAGCTTTTTAAAATTGTTAAAAAACTAAATTAATGACAAAAATTTTCCTTTGTAAATTCCTTCGTTAATTAGCAATGAAAATTTTCCTCTTTAAATTCTGTAGCTAATTAATGATAGAAATATTACGTTGGTAACCAGTGATGAAAATTTTTTCGGTAATTCATTGCTAACTACAGACAAAATTTCAATTTTGTCCTAATTCAATTAGCAACAAACAATTAGTGATGGAAAAAATTCCATTGTTAATTTGATTCTGTTAGTGATTTCATCACTAAATAAAAGTTCTATCAGTTATCATATGTTTTTGTAGTGTTTTGATAAGTTTTTTGTTATCGAAAAGGTACTTGATAATCTTTAATCCAAACTTCATAAAAAAAAAAAAAAGCCAAGTTTTTATTAGCTGCTCAAGTTTAGGAATCATGCAATCTCAACAACATGCATGTTTCTTTCTCTCCTCTCTTTATTTCTTTTATGTCATATAAAGGCATTTGTGTCATTTCAACTTAATTTCCTGATGCCATTTAAAGTTTCTTCACTTTATTGGGAATATGGTCACTACAAAAAAATTGACTTTTAGTGGTGACTTATAAAAGTCGCCACGGAAATGACACTTGCAGTGGCAACCAAAAAAGATGTTGCCTTAGCGATTGTGGTTGAAAACTTTTAGCAACAACAAAAAAGGTTACCACTGAAAGACACTTTTAGCGATGGCTTTTAGAAGTTTCAGCAGCAACATTTGTTGCCACTGAAAGTGACTTTCAGCAGCAACTTTTTTGTTGCCGTTAAAAGTGATACCTAAGAAAAATTGGTTTTAATGATGCCATGTCATCACCTCAGACAATATGTCATCACTAGCCACCTCCACTTCATCACTCCCAGTAGCCACATCATCACCCACTAGATGCCACATCATCACTAGTCACCTCCACGTTATCGTCAACCACCTCCATGTCGTTGCCACATCACCACTCTCATGTCACATCACCTCTCTTGCCATGTCACCGCCCAAATATTTTCATTTTAAATGTGTCTTTTCAAGGTTCGAACTCGTGATATTAGATTATACTTTTACTGGATTGAATTTGTTTATTATTATTGTAAAATAAAATATATATATATATATTATTAGATTATACTTTCAGTGGTGATATTAGAAAGTCGCTGTTGAAAGTCAAACATTCAGCAACGACATTAGAAAATTGCTGTTGAAAGTCGGACTATTTTTTTTTTGTTGCTGTGAAAAGTCATCACCTAAAGTCTTTTTTTTTTTTTTGGGTAGTGGGTATTTGGGTTACCTTTTAAGGATTTAGTTATTTCCTAGGTTCTTTTATGGTCATTTTCCCTTGATTCAATGCTTGAGATTGCTCTGTGCCTTGTAACTACATAATCACAACACACTATTTTTTTCTCCTCTTGAAGAAATCCAATTGGTTTTGACCTTTACTGTCAGCTGCACAACATGTTCAAACTGCATAGTTAGATGTTATTTGTCTGCCATCTTTATTTTTGGAGTTGCAAAGTAAGATCAACTGATGGAGCTTTGGGATCTATATTTATCTTTGGAATTGCTTTAGAAGCTATTCAGCATCTAGGCTATTAAGCAAGGTAATGAAAACTGAACCAGTCACTAGACCGATTGAGATAGTAAGTCAAGGGTTAATTGGTCAAATCAGGATCAACCCGGAGTCAAACTGATGTTAATTAAAATAACATATTCTCAAATTTATATTGATTATTTAAAATAAAAAATAAATATAAGATATAAAAGCAAATGTCAAATAATAATCAATACATAATATTTGCACATAAAATTAATAATACGTGACTTATTTTGTAATTATAATAATGTATATAATATTTGTTTGCCTTTAATAATATATATAAAATAAACGATTATATTTAAAGAATTATATATATGAGGTTTCATGTTTTCTGTTAGTACCTCAGATCTTAAGGTAAAAAAAAAAAAATCAGATCTTTTTCTGAGAAATATAACCCGTATTGTTAACAATTAATATATTTTTAGTATTAATTTATTTTATTTCAAATTTTACTTTGCTCTCTCTATTTTTATCATTTTCAAAGCTTCTCACGTTAAAGTCTGAATCATTAATCAAATCATATTGAATAGTTACCAAGCTCTTTAATTTTCAATTTTTTTTTCTCCTTATCCTTTTTCTCTTTTCTCTTTGTTTGTTTCTTTTTCTCTCTCGTCTTCTTTCATTTTAGATGCTCTTCTTCCCTTCTTTATTTTCATACCTCCACGGTTCACACCTCCTCACCTTTATTGTAGAGACACTCAAAGGGGACTGAATAGATCAAGGTCAACTGACTTGTAGTTGCAAAGGAGAAAAGGTAAACTTGCAGAGCGAGAGGCAAACTGAGGCCATTCTTTCATTTCTATGCTTCTTCTTCCTCGCTTCATATTTCTCCATCTGGTTTATTTTTCCAAGCCATTAGGCTAAGCCATCCAACTCAGCGAGTTTTCCGGTTTATACCCAGTTCACACTGAGTTAGGACGGTTCACACTGGTTTAAAGTTTCTTCTGTCTCGGTGACGGACCAAACCGGACAAGTGGCTGGTTTACTAGTTTTTAGCCTAAACCAACTAGTCCGGTCAAGATTTGCAAAGCACTGCTATTAAGGGAGGGGGTATGTTTTAAGTTGAGGGTATTTTTTGTACTTTTCATATAGTACTTTCTATCACTAATTTAATTTTTAAATAAATTGGTTTAATTTGTGGCAAACCTGTGGTTCGTTCCATGACCTTGGGTGTGTGTGACCACCGAGTAGAGTTTTTACTAATTGAATTAAGATCAACTTGCAGTTTTAATATTCAAAATTTAACATAAATAATAGTTCACTACTTCACAAAAACAATCGCACACATATTATTTTTACATTATGTAAACGCACATATAATTTAATATCTTATTAAATATTTCCATTTAATTTTCATATTTTATGTTAATATGTATTAATAAATATAAAAAATATTTTAAAAAATATTTCAGTACAATAATATTTATATCATATATTTATTTTTTATTTGTATTTCTTATTTATATATAATATTATTGAAAATTTCACATATATTAAATTGTAATTTTAATTTTAAATACGATAGAATAATTTTCACACATTTATATTACCATTTCAAGGAAACAAATTTTGAATTGAAAAGAAATATCATTTTCAAATATTAAAAATTTTATCAATATACTTTTTTCTATTATATTTTAGACAAGATTTCAATATTTCCTCTAATTTTCTCACTAACTATTGAAATAAATTGCAAAATAAAATTATATTTCTGATAAGGTTATTGTATCATTATAAAATTAGTAAAACAAATATAATTAATCAAGATATTAATTGTCATTAAATCTAATTATTTTATATATAACAATATCAGGGAATTGTTTGATCATTCAAATTTAAAATTCCTCTTAACATTAGATTCGTGAATAATAATAAATTGGAGGTAAGCTAAAAGTCGGCAAGACAGGATTCTTTATTGTACGAAATGTCTTGGCTAGGCTGCAGGCCAGCAAGATAAGATTATTTATTGTAGAAATAGGATTCTTTATTGTAAAAAATGTCTTGGCAAGGCTTTCACAAGATTTTGCATCTAGTGGTGGATGAAGACAAGAATGGTATTATAACGTCTGGAATGATGTAAGCAACTTCTAATGATGATAACAACGAAGTTTTATTCAAAAACAAAGTTATGGCCGGCAAAATCAGATTCAGGGAGAGTAAACGCTGCCCGTACAATCTTTCTTTTATTGCTCCGCTTCCTATAAATAATGGAAACTTGTGAGATACATTCTTATGGCTATGTCCTAATAACAGATCGACTATACTAGCATTCTAATGGCTGAAACTATCACCACACCAAATGTTGAGTCAGACAATGAAGCTTACGATGAAGAATATGAACAACTTAACCAAGAATGCAAGGAACTACTACTTTCACTTCCCAACAGGAAGGGATGGGTTACCTCATATGTTTATCTTTACCAAGGCATTTGGTATGCGCCGGCTACTATTCAAGGTATATGCTCTTTTCAAAGGCACTTTCAAGCAAAAGACAGTGATATTGTTATTGCCACCTTGCCAAAATCTGGTACTACTTGGTTGAAGGCGCTTACATTTGCTATTGTGAATCGTAAACTTTTCTCTCCTTCGCAGAGGAACCATCATTTGCTTAATTCCAATGCACACGAGCTTGTTCCTTTCCTTGAGTTCCATCATTATGCAAATAACCAAATTCCTGATCTCTCCATCATTCCCGAAACCAAGGGTTTTTGGCACACATGTTCCATTTCATTCATTGCCAAATTCAATTACCAATTCCAAATGCAAGCTAATCTACATATGTCGAAACCCTTTTGACAATTTTGTGTCATTTTGGTTTCACCTCAACAAAATCACACCACCATCTTTACCCAAATTATCATGTGAGGGTGCATTTGAGAGGTACTCCAAAGGGATCAATGATATGGGTCCATTTTGGACAAATATGTTGAGTTATTGGAGAGCAAGCAAAGACACGACAGACAGGGTTCTGTTTTTAAAGTATGAGGATCTGCAAGCTGACATCAATTTCTACTTGAAAAGAATTGCTGAGTTCTTGGAATGTCCGTTAAACTTAGAGGAGCAAATTAATGGCACTATTAGAAACATAATTGAGCTTTGTACCTTTGACAAGATGAAGGAATTGGAGGTAAACAAGACTGGCAAATTTGTGCACAAGTATGAAAACAAGGATTTGTTTAGGAAAGGTAAAGTAGGAGATTGGATGAACCATTTTTCCTCTAAGATGGAAGAGGAATTGTCCAAGGTTATAGAAGACAAGTTGGGTGGGTCTGGTCTATCGTTTGAAGTGCTCTCTTCAACCAGATATACTATAAGTCATCAACTTTCTACCTCTGTAGAATAGGTATGAAGTTTACATTTATAAATGAGTCGTACAGGCCTGTCAAGAGAGAGAGAGAGAAAGAGAGAAGAGAAGGAGATAGGTGAAGTATCACTTTATTCAACAGAATCTCAATTTACAATGGTAGCTTTTATTATACTATCAAAGTATTGAATCTAATCAGTTCTATGCTCTGCTTTTTTCCTCTGGCTTTACTTCTTTCGCGTTTATGAAGCTCGGAATGTAACTTCTTTTAGTCTTAACTTTTAAATTTGACATGATTTTTGTTTCTGTTTTTGTCGCAGATCTTTTAAAGTTTGGATATGCTTAAAAAGCATGTTGTCCATGATTTTAAAGTAGGCATGTATTCAGGTACAGTATGTTTTTGTCCATGATTTTATATTTATTTGTTTCTTTATTTTTATTACTGCTAATTAAGTAGGTTGTTTTATTTAGTTTTTTTTTAATATTTTGGCTATACTTGAAAAGTTGACAAGAGCATAGAACTAATATATTGTATATGATTTAATTCAGACAGTTGTAATTAGGTTGTTAGTTGTTGTAGGATTGAAATAAATTGATTTCACTAAAATTGTTGTAATTATATAATAGAGGCAAGTTTGTTACTTGTCTATAGCAAGTTAATTGAGATGTTTCGTATTTGGCCCTCATGTTGCCTTGGTGGTCAAATTAAGTTATATTCAAACTTAGAATGTTGCAAAGCAATGCAAACAAAATTCATTTTCTTTTTAGAGCCAAAATTAATTAGGTTCTAAGCTAGCTAAATATCGAAATTGCTATTTAAAATAGGGGTTTTCTTTGATTTTTCAAAGATAAAAGCCACTATGCAAAATAATTGAAAAAAAATTTCTAAATACTTCTTTCTGGGATTTTCGTCTATAAAAATGAGAGTGAAAAGGTAAATTGGAATTAAAAATGAAAGAAACTTGATTAAAAGATTACAACTGAAATTAATTCCTCCTTAGAGCCTCAAACTATGCCTTCTTTGCTTTAAAAGATTTATGGAGTTTTAATTTCCAATCAAACCAATTAGTTTAAGCAACTACTTAAACTTAGATTCATTAAGTTGTTAATGATCTCTTTAAACAAAAGAATCGCAACAACATTAATAATCCTCATTAAGTACTATTGGAAGAGATTTAAATAACTTTGCACAATCAAATTCACCAATCTCATCCACCACAAGATTGAACATATACTTAACTCACTGGATTAACAAAAGATTAACTCAATCCAATGTCAAACAACCAAATCAAGCATATCTCAATACAAATCAAGTACACAACTATCAATCTCAGTATTCAAATCCTAAATTCATTACAACTATAATTAAACAAGTCCATTACAATTCAATCTTCTAACCAAGACAGATCAAAATGCAAAACTAAAAATGGAGATAAGAATATAATTAGAACTCTCTTATTGATGCTTCAAGCTTTGGCATAACTCTAAGCACCTTAGGGAATTTCAAATTCAGCTACTCATGTCAAATTAACCACTCCACCAAGCTCTATTGGTTTGGCCCTCATTGCAACAAAGTTTAGGAACTAGAGGAGGAAAGAATCTGGTTGAGACTAAAATAAGGTAAATAGAAGATGGAAGGTTGATGAGAGGGAGTCGTGGCATTCTGTGTTTGTGGTCAATGAAGGTCGAACCATGAGCTTCATGTTCTAGGTTAGCCGACCGGTCCTCATTGGTGTTGATGATCAAAGAAGATGATGATGTTAGCAAAGGGATGGGTGTCGTTGACGATGAAGATAATAGATGATGAGGTGAAGGTCAAGATATATATCACTACAAAAAAATGTATTTTTGTAGCAGTTTATTTGTAGCGGTTACAAAACACAGCTACAAAGTAGCAACATTATAGCCGTTTTGGGATAAACCGCTACAAATTTGCATTGGTTTGGTGTGAAATATTTTGTGTCACACTATGTAGCAATTATGCCTTGAACAACTACTACAAATGTGGCGTGAACTTAACGCCACATTTATAGCAGTTACGGTTTAATGTATGTAACTGCTAAAAAATAGTTTATTTAACAAAACAGAGATAGAAATGTAAATCAGTCATCACATTTGTGGTAGTTGTATGTAGACTGCTACAGGAGTTATAGATTCTGCATAATTTTGTCACGATTATAGATAAAACTGTTATTAAGTGCGCAACATTGTAGTGGCTTTTAGGACAACTATGACAAGGTGTTTTGTTATTCAATACAGAAATGACATGTGTTAGAAAGTTGTAGCAGTTTGTTGACAATCACTACAATGTTCAGTGCTGGTCTCAACATATATATATACACACACACACACACACACTGCCCCTCTCATTTTTTCACTTTTGGCACATTTGAGGAGCGAGGTTCTACCATTTTTTTCAAAAATTTTGTTGCATCTCTTGATTCAACTCCAAATTCACTTCTAGCTGTCTAGGTGCAAATGTAAGTTCATGTACTAGTTAATTTTTTAATAGTTAGTGTATTAAAAAATTTAGTAGTGTGGTATTAATTTGAAATTTAATCTTGTTTGTTGATTTCATTGTTATTGACATTATTTGAGTTGATGATTATATATGTTATCATTTTTAATTTTTTTAGCTTGCATGTTATTTGTAAATTGTTTAATAATAAAATTTGTTTATTTAATAATTAATTTAATTAGACATTATGAGTAGTATTATTTTAGTTACATTTTTTAGTATTTTGTTTAATATTAGATAAGTTGAATTTGGCTTTTATTTTTTGAATCTTTACTTATGATTTGAAATGTAATTAAAATGTTTAGAATTTATTAAATTCATATTTAAAGAATTTTGTATTTTGTTTTATTAATTATTTGCGATTTAAATTGTGTAATTAATTAGTTGTGATAATGATATATGTTAATGTTTTTAACTTCCGTAGTTTGCGTGTTATTTGTAAATTTTTTAATAATAAAAATTTTTTATTTAGAAATAAATTTAATTAGAAATTATGAGTAATATTATTTTAGTTACATTTTTTAGTAGTTTATTGAATATCAGAGAAATTGAATTTGGCTTTTATTTTTCAAATTCTTACTTATGATTTGAAATGTAATTATAAAATGTTTAGAATTTATTAAATTCATATTTAAATAATTTTAAATTTCATATTTTTTCAATTAATTATTTGTGATTTAAATTATTTAATTAATTATTTGTGATGATCATATATGTTAATGCTTTTAGTTTTTTTTAGCTTGAGTGTTTTTCTTAATTGTTTAATAATCAAATTTCTTTACTTAGTTATTAATTTAATTAGACATTATGAGTGATATTATTTTAATTAAATTTTCTAGTATGTTATTTAATATAAAAAAGCTGAATTTGGTTTTAATTTTTTAATTTTTACTTATGCTTTGAAATGTAATTATGAAATGTTTAGAATTTATTAAATTCATATTTAAGCAATTTTTATTTTTAATTTTGTTTAATTAACTATTTGTAGTTTAAATAGCATGGCTCATAGACACGGTAGACCCCATTGATTCTACGAGACTTTCCTGGCATCCTGACCAACCTCGGCCATTCCAGGAGCCACCAGAGGAGGATGATGGACTGATGATCAACATGGAAGATTATGTGATCGATGATCATTTCGATCTGAACCTTGATGGGGGCGAGGATGGAATGGAGAATGATGAGGAGAACGAGCTATGGGGCTAAGAGGAGGAGGAGGAGGAGGAGTAGCAAACAAAATCAACCATGTCGACCTGGTAGACGGTTGGGCAAATGGAAGGTGGAGGTTATGGGTAAGTGAAATTTTTATTTATATCAATTGACAAATATGTTATTTAATATTTATAATGATAATAATCAAGTTGTTATTGATATTATTTGATTATCAATTAAACTATATAGACTAAGCGGGCAATAGGTCCATGAGGAGGCTAAACATAAAGGACATTACGTGCACGATGTACATGTCACAATCCATTTAAATAACCACAGTCAACTGATTGAGCTGGGAGGATGTCTGTTCAACCCCAGCCTTAGGCCTAGACCCAGCCCTAGTACCAGTAGCCTCGTCAAGATGAGGACGATGATTTTGTCTAGTTTTCACAGAGGACTAACAATTGAGGACTTTTATTACTTTTTATGAACATTGAAACGTTAATTTATTTTTGGATTACTATAATTTAGTTGAATTTTATACTTGAATTTTAATTTTTATGAATTTTTTATTTCTTATTTTTCAAGTAATCATATTTATTTGGTTGTTTAACAATTTGATTTAGAGAATTTTGAGCATATTTTTCTAGTAAAACAAAATAATAAAGTAATTTGGATTAAAGTTTAATAAAGTAACCAAATTTTTGTGAGTTTTAGCGGTTTTAAAACTATCACTAACACTTACTTTCAATTTTGAAGTTCCCTTGTCATCTGAAATTTATAGTGGTTATATAACCACTATAAAGTTTGAATTTTAAAACTTCTTTCTCCCTCCTAGTGTGATGTTTATAGCAGTTAAATAACCACTAACCACTATAAAATAACTCGATCATTGGTATTAGTAGTGGTTTATAGAAATTGCTACAAAGTTTGAAATTTGAAAATTTTTTTCCCTCCACATCGAAACTTCTTAGGGGTTTTGAAACTGCTACAAAATTTTGACTGTTGGTATTAGTAGTAGTTTTTTTAATGTTGTAACAATTTTATAACTGCTACAGAAATTTGACCATTACCTCTTTCCCTTTTAACCATCTTAGCTGTCTGAAACTTCATTTCCACTTCAATTTGATATTTTCTATGAGATCTTTCCCTGCTCTTACTTGCATAAATGATGGATAAGACATGGATCAAGTTGCTACATATGTCTTGATGTTATTTGGCCTGATTGAACTCTTTCTTAGAATTTGCTTTTGCCAATGCAACTACCAATAGTAAGCTTCTTTGTCCATGTCCTAGATGCAATTTCACAAATGGCACACATGAAGTGTTGTTAAAGATCATTTAATTTTGAAGCCTTTCCCAAGAAATTATACATTTTGGTCTTTCCGTTGTAAACAACACAATATGATTGCTCAGTCAACTCTTACAATTTCCCGCATGGGACTTGAAGCAAAGGAGTATCATCCTGTCAATGACACTATGTTTGATGTATTTAGGGTTCATGAACACATATCCACTGAAGAAGTATAGGGACCTGAACCGGAGTTCCTAAGGAATGAAGCTGCTCAAAGTTTTTTTGACCTCATGAATGAAGCTGATAAACCTTTGTATCATATGTGTACAAAGTACTCAAAGTTATCATTCTTGGTAAGGTCATATCATATAAAATGCTTGTGCGGTATCATCGACAAGGAAAAGTCAATGCTTTTGGAATTATTAACAAATACATTCCCCTATGCGGAATTCTCACTGTCCTCTTATGAACCAAAAAAGATAATTAACAAGCTTGGCTTGAACTACATGAAAATTGATGCATGCCCAAATAATTGTATGTTGCGGTGCAAGACATCTAGGTATAAGCTCACACGAAAGGGAAAAAGACAAGAGAAGAAACCTACAAAGACTCCAAAGGTATTGTTTGCTTTAATGTTATTTTGTTATGATTATTTCATTAACAAACTAATATATTTTTTCATATTTTAATTCTTAGGTACTTTTCTTTGAAGCTGCGGTTGCAGAAAATGTATATGTCATCAAAAATAGCTAAACATATGAGGTAGTATGATGTTGACAAAAATCCAGATGGTAAGTTAAGACACTTAAGAGATTTCAAGGCATCAAAAGTGTTCAACTTAGAGAATCCAAATTTGTTGCCGATCTAGAAATGTCCAACTTGTATTGGTGACCGATGATTTTAATCCTTTTGGTAACATGAGCACTAGTTACAGTATATGGCCTGTGGTGTTAATTCTGTACAATCTCCCATCTTAGATGTGCAAGAAATCGAGCTCTTTTTTGCTTTCCATGATCATTCCTAGGACGAAAGCACTTGTAAATGATAGAGATGTCTATCCACAATTTTTGATAAAAGAATTGATCAAGTTGTGGACTACTAGTGTGGAAACCTATGACTCATATAAGAAAAAGCTTTTCAACCTTCACCTAGCCTTGATGTGGATGATTAGTAATTTTCCTGGGTTAAGAACATTATCCAATTAGAACGTGCATATTGGGTTGGCTTGGCCTACCTTGAGTGTAGCTTTGACTCTAAAGCTGTGCGCCTTCCACATAGTCTTAAATGGTGCTTCATGGGCCACTGGCAGTTCCTCAATTCGAAACATAGATCTAAATTGCAATGGAATCGCTTTAATGGTAAACATGAAAAAAGAGATCGTCCTCTTACTTTATCTAGTGTGGGTATATTTTGACGGTAAGAAGGTGTTGATGTCGAGTTTGGCAAGGTTGATGCAGTCGAATGAGCCAAATGATGTACTCATGGCATTATCTTTTCACCCTTCCTTACTGGGCATTTAATTTGATCCACCATAGTCTTGACGTCATGCAGATAAAAAAATGTGTGCAATAATGTGTTATAGACGTTGCTCAACGAACCCGAAAAGTCTAAAGAACACCTGTCAATTAGAATTCATCTAGATGCTTAGCCCAATGATAATAATAGGTTTCAACGAGCTAAATTCACCTTGACAAAGTAGAACAAGGATATCTTTCTGTCAACATTAAAGAAAATAAAAGTCCCTGATGGATATTCTAGCAATATCTCAAGAAATATTGATCTACAAGCTCAAAAAGTTACCGGGTTAAAGAGTCATAACTCTCGTATTTTGATGTAACAATTACTCCCTCTGTTTCTTATTATCAGAGACAAATAACCAAAGTACGTTGATCAAAAAAATAGTTAAAATTAATTAACAACAATTAATGTGTAAAAAGTATAATTTTTTGTTTCCAAAAATACTCTCATTAATAAGGAGAGAGAGCATGAGAGAGAACAATTAAATTATTAAAAGAAAGAGAAGTGGGAGGGAGAGAGAGTGTGAGTTGGAGATAATAAATATGGGTAAAATAGTAAATCAACACAAAAAAGTAGAGACAACTTGTAAGTGTCTCTTATATATAGGAACATACCATAAGCATCAAATGTCTCTTATAATAAGGAATGGAGGGAGTACTTCTTTTAGCACTCAGAAGTACACTCCCTCTTGATGTCTCTATGGTTTTGGTGGATTTGTGTTCATTTTTTAAAAAGTTATGTGTGAAGATTTTGATATCTAGCGAGCTAGATGAACTACAAAATAAAATTATTTTGACGCTTTGTCATTTGGAAATGATATTTCCTCCATCCTTTTTTTTTTTTGTATCTACCATCTAATATTTAAAAAGTGTCATATCGGATTAAAATAACGTGAGATGTTCTTTTTTGATTAGTTAGACCATAGATTTCATGGCACTCTAGTTTCACCTAAGAATCTCTTGAGAGAATGGGTGGTGAGGTTAAGGGAAATGATGACATGGTGATTGCCATGTGGTATTTTAAATTTACAAAATAAAAAAGTTTAGTGATAGAAATTAGTGATGGAAAATTTCCATCACTAATGTGTGACAAAATTTCCATTACAAATTTGTTACCATTTTATGATAGAATTTTCATGAGATATCCGTCTCTAATTAGTGACTGAAATTTTTTGTCACTAGTTTTTATCACTAATCTGTTAGTAATCCGTTGCTAATTAGTAAAGGAATGCTGTCACTAAATAATTAGTAATGGTGAAATTAGCAATGAAAAAAATTATGTCCCTATTAATTCTATTTTGGTCGCTAATTCCATCGCTAATTGAATTCCATCAGTATCTGTTGCTAATCATATTTTATTACTAAATTTTGCTGCTAATTTGCTATTTTTTGTAGTGAAATCCAATATAATATCCTTCTTCCTTCCATCCGACATCCCCAAACACCTAAGATCACTAAAGTGACAATGGCATCACCTTACTCCTCAAGTATTGTATGTTCATTATTGATATTTTAATAAAGAACTATTCAGCATACTTGTTTTTTTAAATTCTTGTGAGGATACTCTCTGACATGAGAGGCTGATCAACTCTTGTGTTGTTCGACTCAATGTTCTTGAATTATTGTTTTTTTTGGATGTTGGTTTTGTATGTTCAATGTTTTTTGGAATGTATGTTTCCTAGTGTCAAGATCAGTTCTTTTTTTTTTCCCTTAATCTCTTTATTTTATTTCGTAATTGTTTCCATAACTCATTAATCAATTTATAATTTCTGATTTTTTTTAAAGCAAGTTCCTATCGGGTCCATAAAACTTCTTTTAAGTGTGGGATTACGAGTTTAAATCTTTAGTAGAGGGTATCACGGGTATGTGAATTATGACCCAAAAAAAAAGTTAAAATATTGCATATCTAATAATGAATTATTGATTTCAAATAATCGCATCACAAGCCAACTGATGCTATTAATACTGGAGGCTTTGTAGCAAAATTTTTAAGCCGATGATTGCTAGTGAACCACCATCTGGCACGTCATAATAATGATCATATTAAAGGATTATTTTAGTAATAGATATTATTGAAATATGCTTTTGAATTAACTTCCTTTTCTTGTTCATTTGCGCAGCTGGACCATGGATCCGTGAATCCATTCACATGCATGCTTGATATTCAGATCTGTCTACCATCTGGCCTTGTTTCTGAATTTCAAATAATTAAATCGGAGACCGGGTCATGTTGTAAATAATGC